TAGAGAGGGACAAGCGTAAGGTACCAGAGCAGATGCTTATAGCAGGAAACAAAGAGTAGTTTACAGAGTACTAGATATTTTCCTCAAAATTACAATAATATAGCCACTTATAAATAATATAACCACTTAAAAAATTCTGGATAAATTCACTACAAAAGGTAAAGAATTGTGTACTAAGAGTTCCTGAACAAGGAACCATAGCTACTGGCAACTGGTAAAGAAATTCTTTGCTGTTGGAGGTTTGGCCAAGCATTTTGGGACATTTAGTGTTCCTAGCACACAAGGCACTAAACACCAGTAGAAACCCTAGGCAATACAATGATCAAAAATCTTAAAAACTCTATCTACTTCCCTACCAGGTATATCAGGGACCACTGTAAGGGCAAGAATTTGTTTCAACTTCTATTTTCTGACGTGCATTTTTTTTTTTTACAGAGTGGGTATAGCTTTTCTGAAATGGAAACTATGTCCACTATTTTTATATGAACTCAATAAGATAGTAATTTAGATTCTAGCTGTCAGTAAACTTTATCTGTCCTTTCCCAACTAGGTTTGCTCATGACAGTAAGTAAAAAAAAAAAAAAGTGACCTGACTTTGTCAGATGCTATAATTCATTTTAAAGTCACCCATAACAGGAAGGGCAAAATTAACTCGGTTTCTTACAAATCACTTTTATTCTTCAAGTACTTGTAATAGTAGTTATGAGATCACAGTATCCTACGATTCACAGGTCAAGTACTGGATTACTTCTAGCTTGCTAATAAAGCTTTAAGAGGGAGGAAGGAAGCCACAATGGTTTGGTTTCAAAAGTGTATCACTGGCATGCCCATTATATCTTAGTAGATATAATTACTGCCACTCAACCTATGACAAGGCCAGGGCAAGCAATTTTAGTCTAGTGAAATGTGTTTTATTTTCTATTATCTCATTTCCTCTAGTTCAAACAGAAGGCAGGTTCTCAGTAATTCTTTGTCTTGGTATTTTTACAGGGCTGAGAGCAGCATTTTTCTAGAGGTAGGTATAGTTTGGTTTCAGGAATGGGAGAATGATAATCTGAAACACACACATACCCCTCCATTTGCAAATAAAGAATCAATAGTTCCATAGTTCATGCAAGAAACTATTATGCTGATCCAGATGTTAAAACATGAACCAAAAAGTTTCTTAGAATCAAAACACAATACAGTATATCCCTTAATGGGATCCTTAGCATTTTGAATTTTGAGTTCCTCTAATTAAAAAAAAAGTATATTTATTTAATTTAATAGATGAACACTACTGAGGACAATTTACAGTGAACTCAGAGAAGATAACCTCAGAATATGCCACAAAAACCTCATATTTGACTCAACAATTCTACTTTAAGGAACTTTTCCTCAAGAAAAGCATTAATGAATGTGGAAAGATGAACAAAGAAGGAAAATTGCTACAGCATTGATTATATTAATAAAAGACTAAAGACTTTCTTTAGACTTTCTTCATCTAAAGACTGAAGAAATCAAAGAATAAGGTAATTCCTTATGAAAGAAAATTGTAATAATGTGAGAGACTGGAGACCCCAAAAATATTTGGGACATAGTAAATGCAAACAAGGCATAAATCAGTAAGGAAACATATTCCCAGGGATAAAGTATAAAAGTATCTTTTAGAAAGAACTGAAAAAATGGAAAGAATAAAGCCAAATTAAAAAAAATCTCTGGGGGCTACATCTCAGTGGTAGAATATGTGTACTTGCATATATGAAGAGCTGGGTTTGATTCCCAGCCTGGGGTTGGGGAGTAAGCATCAACTCCTTAAACTTGTAAGAGTTTTTCTTATTTGAGAGACTGTACCAGGTCACCCACACAAGGGTGGAAAACACTCTCATGCAGGCCCAACACTGATAGTTCAGACATCAGGAAAGGAATATTCTATAGGCTTGTAATGGGAGAGGGTGGAATAAAGAGCTTTAAGTCAGAATAGCTAGAGGATAATAGAGCTATACTGAAAAAAAATTTCCAGCATTTTTTGCCTAGCCAAACAATTACTGCAACAGTAAAATCAAGACATTTTGAAAGATGCAAATCTCAAACTCCACATTCACCCTTCTTTAGGAAAGTGTGAAAGGCTGTGTCCCTCTCCCCCAACCCCAGTGGGACCAAGGCAAGCCAGAGGAGGACAGCGGAGAGGGAAGCAGGCACTCTGACCCTGGAGGGAAGGACAGGGCCTCCGGGGTGATGGCAGCCACACACAGCAGGGAGCAGTTAGAGGCTCCAGGGAGGAGCATGCGCCCTGAGAGAGGGGTTCGGGCAACTTGGGTTAAACGAATAAGTGTCTGGGGAACTAAATGGAAAAAGAATTACTAACACCAGGAAAAATGAGAAATTGCTCAGGAGAGGAAAAGCGCTTGTAGGTTACTCAGTGGCTCAGCTGTTCACGGGTCAACACTGGCTGTTGGTCTAACTCAAATCACCTAATGACAATAGCCGCAGCCAGGAAGCATTTATGTAGCACTGGAGGGGGGTCCAAGAAAACGGAAGCTTTGCCATTCAGAGTAGAAAATGCCTACAATTAGGGAAAAAACTCTGAGAAATACCATTATAAATATGCTACTCAGAGCTCTGAGAAATTTGAATGGGAGTATTTCTAGGCATGAAAATAATAGGGGGAACTTATATTTGACTCTTTAAAATTTGTGCATATTTAGCTCTGTTAAAAATAAAAACTTGGGCCAGGGATTTAGCTCGGTGGTGCCACAGCCTGCCTCAAAGTGCAAAGTCCTGAGTTCAATCTCTGTACCAAAAATAAAAATAAATAAATAAAGTAAAAACTCAGCGGGGATGAGAGGGTAGTGCACACCTATGATTCCAGCACTGAGAGGGCTGAGGCAGGAAGATGGAAAGTTAGAGTACTGACTTGAGCAACTCAGCAAGACCTAGTCCCAAAATAAAAAGGGTTGGGGATGTAGCTCTGCGGTAGGACACACCTAGATCTGATTCCCAGTACCTAAAGCAAACACATAAATAAAGCAATAGTGAGGGTGATTTTGCTCACATGTTTTCTCATTTTCAAAAAGCTTACTGAAATCTAAAAGAATTTATTTATTTATTTATAAGACAGGGTCTCACTGTAACTCTAAATTGTCCAGGCTAGGATTGACTTTTTGAGACAGGGTCTCACTATGTAGTTGAGACTGACCTGGAACTCACTATGTAGCCCAGGCTGGTCTTGAACTCACAGCGATCCTCCTGCCTCAGCCTCCCAAGTGCTGGGATTATAGGCGTGCGCCACCACGCCCGGCCAGGATTGATCTTTTAGTTTAGTTCTTTTTTAAACTTAAATTTGGGCTTTTTTTTTTTTTTGTACTGGGGATCAAACTTGGATCCTTGTGCTTTCTAGGCAGGTGGTGGAACCATTGAGCTAAATCCCCAGCATAGGCTTGATCTTTTGATCCTCCTGCCTCAGCACCCAGAGTACTGGGATTAACCATGGTTATTTTTAGTGATGGGATTGTGAGCCATTTACATTTCTTCCTTCACTTTTATACTTTTATGAAGAAGTGTGGAATGGAGAGCATACTGATCATAAATCAGAAAACACAAGATATTTTATTTCACACCCATTCCAAACCCACTCCAGAGAGGACAGAAGCCCCATCTTCACCATCTTAGAGTCTGCTCTGCTGAATCAGGAGAATACTCCAAATTTCTTCATTCACACAGCAAATATTTGTTGAAGTGTTTAAAGCCAGATCCTACAACGAAATTCCAGTACTTTCAACTCTTTATTGGGTCTCTGGATGCCCTCAGTACCAGGGATGTCCTCAGTACCAGCTAAGGGAACCACCTGGGAGACAAAGTCAACACTTCTTAAACTTTCTGTGTACTGGAATCACCTGAGGACTGATCCCAGGGGTCTGAGCTGGGATCTATGCTTCTGGAGGAGCAAGGAAGCTCTCTAATGTGCACAGATTTTGCTGAAGGTTTCTCAAACGAACTGTCCAAATCTTCAGTCACTTCTGCACTATGATCACTCTCATTCTCTAGCTCTCACATAGCCTGGATTTCAATTCCACAAATGTTTAAAAGGTGGAAAAGGTTTAAAATGCTAAAAGGGTGTTTAAAGGAATATATCAGAAGGGGCACTGGTCACTCCTTGGCAATTAGGAGCAAAAATCAGGAAAAAGGTGAACCCCAGCTCCAGGTCCACAGTTCTGCTTTCCCCTCTCTAGGCCTCAGTTTCTTCACGTGCCAAATGGGCTTAGTTTGAGCCGCTTTCACATGGAAGATTGTCCCATCCTATGGTTTACCTGAGAATAGTAAGGCAACTAAAGGACTTGACAACCCTGGCACAGCGTGAAGCCTCAATAAACAGTGACCACCGCCGGCTGTGAACAGGGCTCCAGACCTTTCTCAGCCATGAGGGCTGGCTGGGACTTGGAGCTCACTTGAGTTCTCAGACGCCAGCCTCCTTAGAGAGCAGAGTGCATTCACCCTGCCCCCTTCCAAGAATGATCTCAGCCTACACCAGGATGTGCACAGCAACAGCCTGGAGGCCCTGAGGCTCTCAAAAGTTGAGTCCTTCAGATTTTATTCAGTGAGTTATTCCTGGTCACTTCAATTTTATTACCAAGGTGATAATTTGAAAAGGAAAAAGCCTTCTCCTTCTTCCTGATCTTTGGTTCCAGGGGAGAGACCATCTACCTGAAGATCGGGTGAGGGAGGCACCAGGTATCCCTGACTCTCAACACAAACGCAGTGCCCACCAAGCATCCTGCTCCCACGACAGGACACCAAACTGGCCTTCTCCCCCCGCGGACTTCCCGAGGGTCCCTACCCTCTGTCCCAAAGAAAGCCTAAGTTGAAAGGAGTGGTTCGGAGCTTTGTAGTTTAGGAAGAAGTGAAGCCTACACAAAAAGGATTCCCAAAGCCTGCCAGAGGATCTCAGCGGGTTCCTTTGGGCAGGTGCCGGCCAACCCGGTCCCACTGCCTCCCCCGACCTCGGCCTGTCGGGCACTCACGATCTCGGCCACGATGAGGAGCCCCGGCAGCGTGCGGAGGAACTCGCGGTCGTAGGCTAAACTGCTGCTGGTGGTGGAGAAGTTCTCGGCGAAGGAGCTGGTGGTGGTGTTGACGGTGTGAGAGCGGGCGCGCTG